AGAGGGAGAGAGGGAGAGAGGGAGAGAGGGAGAGAGGGCGGGGGGAGAGAGGGAGAGAAAGGGAGGGCGAACAGACAGACACCTTTGGGAACAGATTCAGGACAGCTGTGTGCTAAGGGAAACGTTTCCCTGGCTGGGACCCGAGCCTGGCTCAGCTACGTGACTGCAGGCAGGTTTCTTAACCTGCCAAGACTTCACTCTCCTTATCTGTAAAACGGGGCTGATGCGCGTGCAGTGGTGTCAACTGGGTGTCGGGAGGGGGTGACTGTGAAACGGCTTTGCTCCGCGCAGCACACAGCAAAGGTCCCAGAAGTGTGGGCTGCTATCATTTCTGACAGTGATGGAGGGGAGGGAGGTGGTGGTTTCCCGCTGGAGCCTCTTCTCTAGGGCCGCACCGCTCAGAGCTGCTCCCGGTCTGGTCGGCAGCTCCAGCATCCCCAAGGGGAGGCTGTGAAAAGTGCAGGCTCTCAGACCCCGCCCGCCCACAGGCTCAGGAGCTGCATCCCAGCAAGAACCAGGTGATGTTCTGAGCAGCGTGAGAGTCAGTCGCCAGGCGCTTTACAAAGAACACAGATGCCTGGGTCCCTCCCCCGAGAGATTCCTGGTAATTGGCCGGCGGTGCGGCCTGGCACTGGGATTTTCAAAAGCTCCCGGGGTGGGGGGCAGTGGGGGGACTCTACTGTGCAAGATGAGATGCCAGGGAGAGTGCATCCTTCCTTAGGAGAAAGGGGGACTGGAGCTGGAGGAGAGAGAGCCCAAGAGCAGACCTATGGGAATACTGGGCACCTTTCTGAACATCCACTATGTGCCCAGCACCCTCCAGAGCAACTTGACAGAGATTCATGGTCAGTTAAGCCTCACAACAGCCCGGTGAGATTGGGACTATTCCTACCCTCACTTTGCCGATGGGGAAACTGCGGCACCAAGAGGTTATTAGTTAACCTGCAAAAAGGTCGAATGGGGAGCAGATGGTGGGATCGGAATTTCAAGCCAACCGCAGAGCTTACCTCCGTCGTCTCTGCCCACCCCACCACTCTCCCACAAGCTGGGTCTCCTGCCCAGCGGTCTGCCCCTGAGGTCAGGACCCCTGCTCGGCACACTTAACATCACAACTGTACAGATGCTGTGCGCATCACTCTGATTCCACAGTCTATGGCTCTTCCATTCTGTCTCAGCTAAGTGCTGGTCACAACCCACCCAACAGAGTTTACAACACGTCCCAGCTCAGGGTTTATAAAACAGTGATTCACTCTGAAGTGCTCACTGACAAAGTGATGTCAGGACTTTGCTGTAAAATACAACAGAAAAACAGCAGCGGTGCTGTGGGGGGGCGGGGGGGGGCGCTGGGGACGCCATCTGCTGTTGAAGCTGGGACATGGGAGTTCGTGACATACTTTTGTGTCTGTCTGAAAAGTAATAAAATGGTCAAAAGAAAGACAACTGCCTAGGAGGTGACAGTATGAGGCCAATGTCGAGTTTTCTGATTTTGATCATTGGGCTGTGTTTTGCAAGAGACAGTCCTTGTTCTTAGGAAACACACACTGAAGTGTTCAGGTTCCAGGGCCATCATTTCTGCAGCTTAACTCACAGAGTTCGGCCAGAAATCTTAACGGGCCTCAAGCCCATAAAGCAACGGTGGCTAAACGGTGAAGGATACACAGTAGCACCTCCTGTTCCCGCAAGTTGTCTGCAAGCTTGAAACTATTTCAAGAGAAGCATTCAACAAAGGAAACGAAAGCAGAGAGCAGCTCAACCAGAGTTACCCAGCCCCCGCAGTCTGAGCATCAGATCGGGCTTTCCTACAACTTCTCTGATGTGGCTGGAGGGGCAGCCAGGGACTGCAGCTCTGGCTGGGGGAAGGCGCTGTGTCACACTGTTCCTCCCAGAAAATTGTCCTGAATTGACAGGTTTTATCCCCAAAGTTGTCTTGTGACTTTAAAAATACCTATCTCTGAAGGCTTCCCTGGTGGCGCAGTGGTTAAGAATCCGCCTGCAGTGCAGGGGACACGGGTTCGAGCCCTGGTCCGGGAAGATCCCACATGCTGCAAAGCAACTAAGCCCATGCGCCACAACTCCTGAGCCTGTGCCCTAGAGCCCGCGAGCCACAACTACTGAGCCCATGTGCCACAACTACTGAAGCCCACGCGCCTAGAGCCCGTGCTCTGCAACGAAAAGCCACCACAATGAGAAGCCCACGCACCGCAACGAAGAGCAGCCCTCGCTCACCACAACTAGAGGAAAGCCCACGCGCAGCAACCAAGACCCAACGCAGCCAAAAATAGATAGATAGATAAATAAATAAATAAATGTCTATCTCAAAACACTCAGGGAAAGAAAGAAGAAAGCAGGAGGAAGAGGACCTGGCAGCCTGGATTCAGGGGACACTGGGGGACAGGAAGCTGTGCCGGGGTCAGGTAAATGTCGCATCAAGAGGTCTTGTCTATGTGTAGTGATTCTACTTCTGGTTTCTAGAACTCCCAAACGGAGTTTTCACTAACCGACTTTTCTTACCCCAGTGCATGTTGCTGTAATGCCCCACAGGGGCAGAAGGAAGGTGGGAGTGGCTGAGAGGAACTGGGAGTCTGTGCAAGCTGTGTGACCTTACGCCAGTCATTTCCCTCTCTGAGCCTGAGATGCTGATGCTCTGCCTCCCAGGCTCTGTGTCCTCATCAGGCATCTGGGCCCAGCCTCCAGGACAGGGCCTGGGACAGGTGTCACCGTCATCATCACCTCACTGTCAAGCATACATGTCATCATGTCACCATTCAGCACCCTCTGAGGGTGCTGCGTGGGAACAGAACCAGGGGCACCCTGCCACGTGGTCCCGGATTCAGAGGTGTGGCCTGTTGCAGCAGGAGGAATCGTTCCCCAGGGTGATTTATGTAGGGCTGTGGGCAGAGCCCCATCCACTCTGCTCCCTTCGTGAGTGGGCTGGGGGGGCAGCCCCCTGCAGAGATGGCAGATGCTTTTGTGGGAGACACCGCCCCCCCCGTATGCGGGATGGGTTGGGATGTCTGGCAATGAGGAAGACAAGCTTGATGCTTCATCTGTCCAAACGGTAGCCATACCGAAGCCTAACTGTGGGGAGTGGGGCTACATACCCCCAGACGCCACCATCACAGGTGACAGATGTCAGG